TCTTTAGATGGCGAAGGCGAGGAACTCGCTCAAGAGTTCCTCCCTCCCGAAGCTTCCGAAAATTCTATATCTGACGGGCCCGAATCGCCGTTACAACAAGAACCAGTACAGGAACAAGAGCAGGATCTACAGAGTGAACCTGCAGAAGCAGAAGCCCAAGTTCCGGATCATCCGGAATATTTCCCGGATTCCCAAGTACAACCAAATACTCCAGCATTATCTTCTATACCAGACTCAAGTCCAGGGGGTCGATTACAGGATCTCCGAGCACAGCAAGAGCGACTCCAGGAGGAGAATCAGCTACGAAAAGATATTATGAAGCTCAAACAAGAACAGATACGCCTCCGACAAGCCCATGCAACACCACAGTCACAGGGACACTTCAGAGGAGCAGCAAATATCAAAGCTTCAGATAAGGAAGTGAAGATTGCTAATTTCACACAACTTACTCTCTCTTCGTCCTTCAAAGCCCGAGATGATTGGTTACTGGATTTACGACGGGCTTTCCGTGGAGCAAAGACGCGGTATAGCACCGATGAAAACAAGATCCTGAAAGCTCTCGATGAAATGCACCAGACGTGTCGAACCCGCTGGGAAAGGCACGTGGGAGAACAACGAACCGAAGCTGACAAGGAAGCGCTATGGGGAAACTGGCCTGCCTTCGAGGAGTGGACTTTAAGTCTCATAAAAGACGCGGCAAATCGCAAGCCATTATTAATGGCACAGCTTGAGAGTGCCCAGCAACGAGACACACAATCCCCCCGAGAGTTCCATGTCTACCTTGATTCGCTAGAGCAACACTTCGAACAGAAGCCTGAAGTGGACCGGGCTTTCTATTACTTTGTGAAGCTACAGCCTGAATTACGCAATCATATTTATATGCAGGGAAGCAAGTTACCTACTGTCCGCGAAGATATTGTCGCTATCGCTGAACGCGTATGGGACACATTTGCGGCACAAAGGCGGAAGAGACCTGCAGCGCCCACGACTGACGCCCGCGCGCCACCTGCAAAGCGGCAGAAGCCCAACTGGAATACGGGGCGGAGGCCAATCGTACCCGACGCGGGGGGTCCGCGGGCCCCAAGTATAAGTGGTTCCACTAAACCACCCCGCCAAAATGGCAACCCAGTTGTCAAGGGCAAGCCATTGCAGTGCTTTGAGTGCCAGAGTACTGAGCACCTCGCAAACGCATGTCCCAATAAGCCAAGGATAGGCAGGCTGGGAAAAGCCAGCCGACCCAGGAGGGGCCAGCCCGGGTCGGAAGGGCAGGCACACAAGTAAGAACGGCCCGAAGTGTATGGGCCACGGTCACGCTTCATGGGGAACGTGATGAGGAAACGCGAGCTGAGCTCGATACCAATGCCGCTTGCGATATCATCAGTTCCGCCTACGCACGAGAGAAGAAACTCCAACCGTCGCCACTAACATCCCCGCTGTTGCATGATGCAGCATGTCGGGGTTTAGAACATGATGGCGTTTGGATCGTACCTCTCACTAGCACCGATGATCGTGGAACAACCCGTACCTTTACACGACACTGCATAGGAATTCGACGCCCAGGAGCCGCCGATCAGGTATTCCCTGTACTCCTTGGAATGCCGGCACTAGAAGACGAGCGGATACATATTGATTGCCTCCGGAAACAGTGGTGGTTCGAGTACGATTTTCAGCAAATCCCTATAATCCCACAAGGGACGGCAAAGAAGAATCGCCGCCAGGGCGCACGAATTTGCGCAGTTTACCCCGTGGAAGAGACATTACCTCTTCCAGGAGAAGAAGAACAAGAATCTGAAGCTTCTGTGCCACAAAAGGCTGAACAAGTCCCTGTTGAGCTACATGACTTTTTAGACGTGTTCACGCTCGACAAAAAGACTATTCTCCCCCGACATCGAGCTTCAGATCACACTATTGACCTTATTAAAGGCGAATCACCTCCGTTTGGGCCAATATACCCATTGTCGCCTGGGGAGCTTCGAGAACTGAAAGAATACTTGCAAAAAGCTCTTGCAGACGGTATTATTCAGTCTTCGAAAAGTCCTGCAGGCGCCCCAATCCTCTTTGTACCAAAGAAGGACGGAAGTCTACGCCTTTGCGTGGACTATAGGGGCTTGAATAAAGTCACTATAAAGAACCGATATCCGCTGCCACTAATCACAGAGATTATGGATCGAGTGGGGGGTTCTCGGTATTTTTCCAAGATTGATATTAAAGATGCGTATTATCGCATCCGAATCAAAATAGGAGACGAATGGAAAACGGCATTCCGCACGCGGTACGGTCATTACGAATACCGTGTAATGCCTTTCGGTCTCACTAATGCGCCTGCAACATTCCAAGAGTATATCCATAGTGCACTTGGATCTCTATTGGACACTGTATGTATAGCATACTTGGATGACATCTTGATCTTTTCCAAAACCAAGGAAGAACACACGCAGCACCTACGACAGGTGCTCGAAAGGCTCCAGAAGGCTGAGCTCTTCGCCAAACCATCGAAGTGTACCTTCTACAAGGAAGAGGTCGATTTTTTAGGATTCCTAGTTAATACCCAAGGAGTCGCTATGGACCCAAAGCGGGTCGAGACAATTGCAACGTGGAAGGAACCCACGACATACCGAGAAGTTCAAGTCTTTATCGGGTTCTGCAATTTCTATCGCCGGTTTATCTACGGATTTTCTGGGATAGTGCAACCATTGACAGCCTTGCTCAAAGGGAGCAAAGACGGCAAGAAGCCCGGTCAAGTGCATCTCGGGAGTAAGGAAACGACTGCGTTTCGTACTCTCATCGACGCCTTTCAGAAAGCGCCTCTCCTTCAACACTATGACCCCACATGCAAACTTCGGGTTGAAACAGACGCGTCTAAGAAGGCCATGGCAGGGATCCTCTCCCAGCAAGATGCTGAAGGAAAGTGGCATCCAATTGCCTTTTGGTCCCGAGGATTCCGGGGTCCAGAATTGAATTATAGTACTCCCGATCAAGAGATGATGGCTATCGTCGAGTCCTTCAAGCATTGGAGGCACTACATTGAAGGAGCTATACATACAATCGAGGTTCTGAGTGATCACCAGAACTTACAGAGCTTCATGAAGCAACCTAGACTACTAGGACGACAAGCCAGATGGTGTCTGTTCCTTACCCCATATGACTTTGTGATCAAACATCGCACGGGGAAGTCGAATCCTGCGGATGCACCGTCAAGGCGGCCCGAATATAACGGTGAATCGCCTGGGAATGACACGCTCATCCCTCCGTTAGAAGAACGCTTAGTCCAACGCATTGGAATAACGTTTGCACGAGTGCAACAGATTCATGCACAAGATATCCACAGAGATATCTATACTCTTGATCCAGACAAGGGACTGGAAGAGTTAATCTACGAAGCCCAACAGAATTGGGATCGTCACGAGTATAACAATCGGGACAAAGACACCCGACGCTCAACCACGCAGACAGGACTACTGCAAATTAATGGACGAATTTGGATTCCAAATCATCCTAGCCTTACAAAAGAATTAATCCGTCTACACCACGATGATCCTCTTGCGGGACATTTTGGAACTCAAAGAACATTAGTCTTATTAAAGAGGAAATTCTTTTGGAATAAAATGCATAAACAAGTAAAGGAATATATCCAAACTTGTCCGGTTTGTCAAGGTGTCACCCCAAGAAGGCACAAGCCTTACGGGAAACTCCAATCATTACCATGTCCATCAAGACCGTTCCAAGAAATTACTATGGACTTCATTACTGGGTTACCGTCGACACGGGACCGTCACGGTAACGAAACAGATGCAATTTTGGTCGTGGTAGATCGATTTACAAAAATGTGTCACATTTTTCCCGTCACCACAACGATCACAGCACCTGACGTGGCCGAATTAGTTCATAATGAAATTGAATTAAAATACGGTCCACCTGAGGGCATTGTAACAGATAGAGGAACTGTCTTTACTAGTGCCTTCTGGTCTTCGCTGTGTTATACTTCTCATGTACACAGGCGATTATCAACAGCGTTTCACCCACAAACAGATGGCCAGACTGAACGAATGAACCAGACATTGGAACATTACCTTCGCTGTTTCACCACAGATAATCAAAATTCCTGGCCACTCTTGCTAAAACAAGCAGAATTTGCTATGAATAATGCACCGAATACAACTACAAAGCTGTCGCCTCATGAGGCTCTCATGGGATATCATCCACAGTTTCACATGCGCATCGGGGACGACGCACTGGAAGGGGAGGTACCAGACGCAAGACAACGCGTCGAGAAGCTTGCAAAGTTACGGGAACAGCTAAAGCAAAATTGGCAAAAAGCAAATGCACGGCAGGAAAAATATTATAATCAATCTCACCAAGAACTCCAGCTACGACAAGGCAGTCTAGTGGGGTTAGAGACGAAATCCCTCCGACTTAAAGGTGACTTTCGGAAACTTATACCGCGTTTCGTGGGGCCACTTCGAGTTTTGGAGCGCATTGGTACACAGGCATATCGTCTTGCACTCCCCGAAAAGTATCACAGGATACACGACGTGTTCCATATCAGTAGATTGGAACCCTGGACTGCTAGACAGGAACACCTCCAAGGAGAGGCAGCATTATTAATGCCGGACCTCGAAGACGAAGTTGACCAGTGGGAAATTGAATCCATCCAAGCCCACAAGCGGGCAAGTGGACAACTACTGTACTTGGTAAAATGGAAGGGCTGGCCAGCTGAATACAATCAGTGGGTGGACTCAGAAGATGTGCAAGCACCCCGTTGCGTGGAAGAATACCACAGAAAGCGCAAGGGACGCGGGCGTGGAGCGATCCCGGCTCTACCAAAGAGGAGGCGGGGTCGACCACGCAAGAATAGGGGGTAACTGTACTCAGTACGGAGGAACCACACCCACATTTGCAGCACAATCAATCAAGGGACAACAGACACCGCAACGCCAAGTTCATTCCAGAAGCCTACATATGGTATAAAATCAAACAACAGCGCACTGAGGCACACCCGATTAGGTGGGGACCTTGGCGCGATAATGGATGAGTACGCGGCGGAAGCTGCCACTCTCATCACCACGCGCAGCACAAAGGGTATCATTCCTGAGAAGCACCATCCATCTGCGGTGCACGTCTCTGCGTGTCTGCAGCCAGGAAACTCCCAAGGGGTCGTTCTTGCTGAGACGCAAGGTGGTCGCCACAGCGTACGCATCTTCAGCTTCCACACCTGAATGCTGGCTCAAAGGCTGCACACCCCGCTGCAAGGCAGTACGGCGCCTTGACACTTCAGCGTTGTACGTGGGCATCTGCATCGAATGTCAGTCGCGTCACATCTGACCCAACCGACGAACTTACGTCGCGATTGGCCACTTTGCCACCAATCTTGTGTCGGGAACGATGAGCCTTCTCCATCTCATCAAAAGCCAGCAGAACCTCGAAAAACAAGCCAGTGCAAGCACGGCGAGTCTCTTCAGAGAACATGATCTCGTCAGGTGACGCAGCACGAACAATCTCTGCAGCAGCAATGTACGGCTCTCCATCAGAGTTCACCATTGTGCACTGGAGTTGGCGAAAAGAAACCAGGAAGTCATCGCACTCTTGGCGATTGCCCTCCATAAGGTCTGCCGGCTGGGATTGTCAGCGGAGTCCTGACTGAATCGTAGAGGAAGACTCACCTGATCGCAGGTCTTGTGCTTACGGTTGCACGCAACACAGCGTGAACCCAGAGGCACACAATCGATGAAAGGCGCAATGACATCCCATTCCTCTGTGGAAGCCTTGGCAATAAGCTTCAGTGCATGAACCACTGAACGACAGCAAGGCATGCACCACAGGCAAGGTTCCTCATCGCCACTGTAATCATTATCATCAAACTGCTCGTCTGCAGACGCCTCATGTTCCAGCCAATCATCAAAACCAGGCCGCTGTGATGGGAACTGGTCGTCAGCAGGGGGCTGCGCTTCAGACTCGCTCGGCTCAGAAGACGGGGCGAACTCGCCGTCGTAGAGGCTCGAAAACAGCTGACCAAGCTCATCACCCCCAGGGCCTTCATCCATCATTCCTTCATCCCCATCTGAAGCTGGAGGAGCAGTGGAGCCAGCGTTGACCTGGGGAGACGATGGCGCAGCAGTCCGAGCACCCGCGAAAAGCCGCTGGGCAGTAGGCCAAGCTTCACCCTGTCCTGCATGACGAAGATCCCGCTCTGCAGAAAACTCGCTGTCGCGAGACAGGGATTTGCGTCGCCGAGCCATCACCCCAGCGAGCACAGGAGGGCGAGGAAATTGCGTAGCGACACCATCGTGAAGAGGCTGCGCAGGCAGGGTGTCGTCGTCGCAAGTGTCCTGGGACACGGACAAGGCGCGAATGCGACCTTCAGGATCCATGGGAATGAGAGGGCCAGCAGGGAAAATCCTTGCTTGAGGCACAACAGGGAGTTGCGTCTCATTCGTCTCTGAACCAGCAGGTGGTGGTGGTGCATCCTCCATTGACGTGCCAGCGGAAGGGTCGCGTACCCAAGTCGATGGCGCGCCCCGGCGATTGAAAAGGCGACGAGCAGTCGCGTCGGCAGCCAATCCAGCCCCAGCCACAGAACGTCCTGCCTAGGGAGCTTTCATGGACCGAGACTCGAATCGACTGTGACGAGATGCCGAACTGCCAATGCTGCGATGAGAACGAACAGAAGGAGAGGCCCGAGACTGTGCAGGGCCTTTGACAGGAGTCTTGGGAGGCGCCATGGTGAATGAGGTTGTAAAGAAGCAGGAGGTCAAAATCTGACGAAGGCTCTCGAGCATCCAAGATACCGTTGAGGATGCAGGAGTCAAGGGAGAAGCGAGAGTGAATCGTGCCCGCGGCAGTATCGATTCACCCCCGAATCCTGCCCCACTACAAAACTTTTCGAAAATCAGGAGGCGGGGTGGCTGGTTGCCCCGCAACCTTGCAGCTCATTGAATCACCCCGCCACACGATGGATTCACTACAAGCGAGTCCAAGCGTCGAGGACGACGCCTCAGAGGAGAGGGGATAATTGTAACACCGTGGCCGAAGGAAGTCAGCGGTGCAGTCACAAGGAATCACGGAGGCCTCGGATGCTATGGCGTACCGCCATGTCAGCATCAATGATGCGTACCCGATTCATTAGTATTACACCTAACCTCCGGATCTTCCGAGCGCTTTAGGTATAATATACTTACTTCTACCTGTAGAGGGAGAAGTAAGTTTGAGTTTTGTAAATATACTACCTATACCTTCTCTCCCTACCTAATCTATCCTACTATTGTTACAGCGACCTCGCCACGAAAACGTTGCAAAAAAGCAGGTAATCCACTGCTTCTTGCCTGACTTGATTCTCCTTCGTCTCGAAGATCAGCCCTTCGAGACAACGCGTCTGCGGGGTTCACAGCCCCGGGCCTGTATTCGATCCTGAAGTTAAACTCAGATAGCTTGTCTAGAGCTCAGGCCTGTCTGTTAGACAGCCGCGTCTTCTTAGCGAGATAGCTGTGATTCAAGTGGTCTGTGATAATACAAATCTCATAGTTAGCGTAGGCTAAATAATATCTCCATACCTCGAACGACTCTGTGATCGCTAGCATCTCTGAGTCCGGTGTCGGGTAGCGGAGCTCTGGCCCCCTCAACTTCCGTGACATGTACGCAACGGGGTGCCAGCGATCTCGGTGCGACTGCGAGAGAACTGCGCCGATAGCGAAGTCAGATGCGTCTGTTTCCACTCTAATCGGAGCCTCTGGGTCGAAATGCTTTAAAATCGGTTCTTCGAGGAATTGTTGTTTGAGTGTCTTAAACGCTTCGATCTCGCGGCTTTTTAGTTACACTGGCCCTTTGCGGTTGTTTTTTGTTATATCCGTTAACGGCGCTGTGATCTTGTGATGCACTAAAGGCAGATCAAACAGGTGGAAAAGGATGATCAATTCAAACGTCCTTGGGCAGCCAGTCGGCCAG